ACAGGGAATTTTACTAACCTTGAAGTAAGATAGAAGTGGGCAGTCAGCAACATTGAGAATACGTGCAAAATAAATACAGTTTTGGTTCACAGACCTCGGTAACTTGGAGAGAGCATGTTGTGAGATGTGCTTGGGGTCGCATGTTATCCTCCCTCCCAGACACAAGGATACACAGTTGCGTGTACGGGGAGGCAGGATATTTTACACCCACTCAGAGTGATCACAAAGGTTCCAATGCAAATTCCCTTTGTAAAAGTAAAGAATGGGTGATGAACATGACTGATACTCTATTCATTGCTCTATTCATTATTCTCTTGTTTCAATATTCCATATGCTGTACATATTCGCCAATTCGAATACATACGTACTACTTGTTGCGCTGATCTGAATTCTGGATTTCTAGTCCGTCTGGTTATACCGATATAAGTCTGAAATTTAATTCTCACATTTTGGCGTCGCGATCGGAACAGTTCATCATGCCTGCCGAAATGAAACCATTAGATGTTAATTCAACTGCGCGTGACGTAGAGGATTATTTTGAACGGTTCGACATATGGTGCCTCACAAAATCCGATATGGACTATAAGAAACTCACCGCATATTTCCNCATTTCGTTGGCAAGGAGGCGTATACTTTAATCAAGAATTTAGTATATCCTGAATCTCCAATCGGTATTTCCTAGACTGCATTGAAGAAAAAAGTTCTTCAACACTTCAAACCGATTAACATCGTAGCAACCGAAAGAGCTAGGTTAAATATGTTCACCCGCTCCCATTCTCAGTCGGTTCGTGATTTCGTATTGCAGCTGCAGACACAGGCAACCAAATATGACTACGGTGCCCAATTGGAAGACCAGCTGCGTGATAGGCTCATCGCTGGTATTCAACTGCCCGAATTACAGCAGAAGTTGCTGCTCTGTCCAGATCAGAAATTTCAAACTATTCGGAAAATATGTGAGCAGTATGAAGATGTGAAGCATGTAACGAAGACTGAGGAAGCAGTTTTGTTAAATTATTCTAAAAGAAATAATTCAAGGATGCAGACGAACAACCAATTCAAATCTCGAACAAATTCTCGTGCCCCAAATCCATCAACGCGTCACATTACAGATCGTACCCCAAATCCGATGGTTCAAAAATTTGGAAAATGTGAATCTTGTGGGCGAAACCGCTCCAGATATTCACGCCCTCACAGACGAGCGAAGTGTTTTATCTGCGGTAAAACAGGACACATTTAACTTGTCTGTAAGTTCAAAAAAGTTTGTCACTTAACTTCTGACCCAAATATTGATGTGAAAGCATTATCGGAAGACATTTCTACCCTTTCTCTATCTGTTTTGTCCCAAAATTCGTCACATGTTTTTAAAAC